ATTGTCAGGTGGGACCAGTCGCTGGAGAAGGATATCATGTTTGGTAAGGTGGAGGGTCAGAGAAAAAGAGGAAGACCCCAACGAGATGGATTGGCCAAGTGTCAACATCGATGGACTCAAGCATGGCAACAGTAGTGAGGTTGCCCCAGGATCGAGCAGTGTTTCGTTCTGCTGTGTATAAGGTGGCTATGAGTTGGTACCTACTCAATGGCACCTAACAGCAACAACAGAGCTGGATACCTCTGGGAAGAGCCTTGTCAGTGGAGCTAAAAGTAATACTTGCTTGTGCAAGGGAGGCTTGAGTGTGCCCAATGCAGTTGTTGCACACCTTCCCTCCTTTCCCCTTTCCCCCTGCCCCATGGTAGCATAATAGGAGCTGGTAGTAAAGGCCAGCAAGGCCCAGCAACAAAACACAAACACTGGGAATCATGCAGGCCTCCTAAGCATTTTGGTGGATCACCAGAGGCTGTAGTGACTAGAAGATAGCATCTGACATCTGACCTGAATCACTGTGTACCTACCCACAGGAAGGTTGTTGTTAAGTGCTGTTGAGTTGGATCAACTCATAGAGACACTGTATAGTGTTTCCAAGGAGTGGCTGGTGGGTTTGAACTGCCTACCTTGCAGTTCAAACTGAACTTGCAGTCCAGTGCAGTATTCTGCAGTGCCACACCAGGACTCCAGACAAAACAGATAAGAGTAATCTGGGAAAGGGTAAGCATGCTCCCTTTGAGGATTCTATTTTTTTACTTGTTTGTTTTTTAGAAATAATAATAATGGTTCTCACTTTGCCAATACTGTGTAAGTGTCTTGTGTGTCCAGCTTGATGACATGAACATAGTACCTTATATAGAATGATTCATACCAATAGGTGTATGTGTTGTCTTATGGCTAATTGGAAGTTTGAGGCATATCTTGTCTATGTTGTTGCTAAGTGCCATTGAGTCAGTTCTGTCTTGATGTTACACTTGTAGGATTTCTGAGGAGTGGCTGGTGGGTTTGAATCACTGACCTTATGGTCAGCAGGCCAGTGCTTATCCTTTAGTGCCACACCAGGACTCCTATTTTGTCTATACACAGTATAAACATATATATATATATATATATATATATATATATATGTTGTTGTTAAGTGCTATCAAGTTGATTCTGACCCATAGTGACCCTGTATAGGGTTTCTGAAGAGCAGCTGGTGAGCTTGAACTACTGGCCTTGTAGTTAAAATGGCTTTGCAGTCTGGCGCATTAACCCACAGCGCCACACCAGGACTCCATATATATATACTGTATTTATGTGAATTATATACATATATATTTATACTGTATTTATGTGGCATACATGGAGTCCTGGTCTGGCACTGTAGGATAAGCATTGGACAGTGAGATAGGTTTGAATTGCAAGGTTGGTGATTCAAACTCACCAGATGCTTCTCGAAAACCCTATGCAGAGTCACTATGAGTCAGAACTGACTTGATGGTATTTAACAACAGCATATATATTTATATATCTATATGTTGTTTTGTTAAATATATATATCTATATATATATATGTATTTTGAATGCAAATTTAAAATTGATATTTTGAATGCAAATTTAAAATGATTGAGTTTATGCTTAATTTCTTTTATTTACACTTTTTCCCCTGATGATTCTGGAAATCTTAGTTGCTACTAATATTCACTTAATTATTAATTAGTTCATTACACAACACATTCATAATTGGTTCAAAATAACAACACCAATCATATTATTGATAATATTTAGATGCAACTATTGGTTTCTCCCTGTCTGGGACAAATAAGACATTGTTGGAGATGATGTGACACTATAGGGAAAACTTTCTGGGAAAAATTTGTTCTGTATTCTTAAAATCTTCAGTGAAAGACTTCCTCTCTCTGCAGTTTTTTGCATCCCTGCTAGATCTTCAGTGATTTGGGTACTTTCCTCTTACTTTATATTTTTAAGTTTCAGATGTCTCTTATGCACAATAATTTTTGTGTTTCCATTCTCATTACTTATTTTGACTTTGAGGATTTCCAAGACAAGAAAATCAAGGGCACTTATAGTACAATACCTTTTAAAAAACAGAAATTAGTCCTTCTTAAATATATGTGGAAAATCAAGAGCAATATTTATTTAGTAAAAGCTGCCATTGAGAATATAATTAAGCTATGCCTAGCAGAAGCACTAGATTGAGGCTCTGTCAGAACGTAAAACAATCCTATCAACGTCTTGCCCCTCCTTTTCTGACCCAGACCATCAGGAAAAGAGAAATTATACACAATCTGCAAGGTCCTAGCCAGTCACTTGGTGGGAGCATGTGGGTCTGTAAAATAAGCACTGGACTGTGTACCACAAGGTTGGTAGTTCAAGTCCACAAGCTGTTCAAGGGAGAAAAATGAGACTTTCTGCTCCCACAAAGATTTACAGCCTCAGAAAACCTATCAGGGTTGCTATGAGTTGGAACTGACTTGAGAACACTTAACAACAACAACAATGAAGACCATATTAAGTAGTTTATGTCATCACAGAGGAATACATTTTCAGATATATAAGGACTGAGGACATTTTTTTCCCATTTAGTCTATGGAATTATTTGAAAGGTTCAGAAAGTAAGGGTATAAAGCAACACTGCATGAGATACAGAAAATATTGTGTGTACCCAGGGGATCCTAGGGCGACAGTTTTCAGGGTGAGTGCCATCACTGTGGACTACACAGGATACTGTAGGGCTCCGGGAGTGTGGCTAAGGATTCTAACAAATGTCATTACTACAGAGAAGCTTAGCCATCATTGTACATCCTAATATACATGCCACAACAAAAGCTAGACTTACCGGGAGAAGATGTCACCTTTGCAAAAAGGAATTTACATTATGTTGTCGTTGTTGTTAAGTGCCGTGGAGTCGGTTCCGACCCATAGCGACCCTGAACAGGGTTTCCGAGGCTATAAATCTTTACGGGAGCAGAAAGCCTCATCTGGAGCAGCTGGTAGTTTTGAACTGCCGACCTTGAGGTTAGCAGCCCAATTCGTAACCACTACGTTACCACTTCACAACAACAACAACAACAACGTTACCAGAGCTCCTTGTTGTTGTGTGTCGTCGAGTCAGTTCCGACCCTTAGCGACCCTGTACAGGTTTTCCGAGGCTGTAAATCTTTATGGGAGCAGAATGCCTCATCTTTCTCCCACGGAGCAGCTGGTAGTTTTGAACTGCTGACCTTACTGTTCACAGCCTGATTCGTAACCACTACGCTACCGGAGCTATATTATGTAGCACCCTTGAAAATGCTAGGCTGGAAGTGAATGCATTTATCAGGCTGAAAGTTTGACAGTTTGTTGTTGTGGGCACTAGACTCACAGGCAAGCCTATATAGCAAAGTACAACAGCTCCATAGCGTTTCCTTGATTGTAATCTTTATTGAAGCAGATCACCAGGTCTTGTCTCTGATAGAGAAGCTGGTGGGTTTGAACTGCCTACTTTTCAATGAGCAGCTGAGACCTTGCAGATTGTGTGTATTTTCTCTTCTTCTGATTGTTTGGGTAAGAGAAGGTCAGGGGAGATGCTGATAGGATGCTATGACTCTGTTGTGATTGGTAGCAGCTGTGCTACTAAGGCTCTTTTCCCGACAGCTTACCCATTGCCATGGAGTCGATTCCTCTAATGCGAATCTTAAACAAAAAGGTTTGTTTTTAGGCAAGCATGAGTTCAGACATTTGAGAAATTGCTTTGGTATGCTTTTAGTTTTAGTTAATAAATCATTTCCAACTGAGCAAAATAGTGTAATGGTTAAGATTGTGGATTTTGGAGCTAAACTGACAGGGTTCAAATCCCAGTTCTAGTTTTTCTTAGCTTTGCAAACTTGGATAAGTTACCTAAATTCAGTTTCTTCATTAGTAAAATGGGGGCAGATGGTACCTATCTTATGCAGTCTGTTACACAGAACAAATGAACTAAAGTACTTAGAATAGTGTCCTAGTACATAGTAATAATTCAATAAGTATTACCGTTGCTATTGTTAGTAGCTATTGAGTAAATTCTGCAACCTATGTGTGCAGACTAGAACTCCCATTGGGTTTTCAAGGTGATCTTTCAGAAGCAGACTGCCTGGCCTGTCTTCTGGGTGGGAAGTAATAATCAAGCACTTAACTATTTGTGCCATCCAGAGATGCCTCAATACATATTAGGGATTTTAACATGATAATTATTTTATATAAACAAAAAGCATAATCCATTAAAACATAGCATTTATGAATTACTATGTACCAATTTGTTTAACAAAAATATGAAAACAAGAACTGCTAGAAATAAAAAAGAAATTAATAGAGATATAATTACAATGGACACGCCAACACAAATAAGTTAGACTAAAATTAAATCAAGGTATAGAGAAAATGAACTGTGTACAAATATAACTTAGTGGTTAATAGGTTAAGCTCAGGTCTGGATCTGAGTTCCAGCTTTGCCCTTAGGTAATGTGATATGTGAGCCTTGGCTTTTACAGGAAGAAGTGCTGTCAGGTTCTGTGCACCCAAAACCAACTTTTCCAACATTAGCCTTCTGTTGAAACTACTGATGGCTTTTTCTAGGGTTAGCAGGGAAGAAAATAAAGCTGGAAGAAACCTAAGGCCATAGGCAGTTGGGAAGGGTGGAGGGAAGAAATAATGAGTGAGAGGAAGGCAAAGTAAAAAATTTTGTATCAAAAAGGAAAATACTGAGTTGGGACAGAGGTGAAAAGCACGAATTTCTCAAGTTCTCGTTTGTTGGATTCAGTTTTCTGGTTTTTCTTTGTGTTTCTCATCTGACTGTCTAAACTAAATATTTGATTTGGTTTGTTTCTAGAGAAAAAAGCCCATAATGATTATGGAATTCTGGGTTGGATGGTTCGACACCTGGGGAAATCATCACATGGTTACAGATGCAAAGGGTAAGTGATAGTCCTTAGAGATGGCCCTGATACATTATCCTAAAATGTTGTAAAGAGGACATACTAATTATTTGTGCAGTTTCAAAAATGTAATGAAAATTGTATGTTTTGGTGGCATAAGTACTCTTAAGGTATTAAATAGATTTAGTTTGGTAGTCAAATTGTATCAATATTGTGGGAAAAATAATTTTTAGAAATGGCCTTTTGTGTTGACAGGACTTGATTGGTTCTGGCCAATCCCACTCATTTTTCTGGTGGGGATTTTAATGGAGGTTGAATAACAATGAATTAAGTTGCCTCGGGGGTGGGGCTGAGAGTGGTACGAGTTCACCAGAGACTTCTGTCTTCTCAATTTATCATTTTGTCTGTATTCTTATTTTTTCCCACCACAGAGATTGAAAATACTGTACTTGAATTTATCAAAGCCAAGATCTCCTTCAATGTGTATATGTTTCATGGTGGAACCAACTTCGGTTTCATAAACGGAGCCATAAATTTTGGGGAGCACAGAGCTGTTGTAACAAGCTATGGCAAGTGTTTCCCAACTCCCAACATGGGTGTAGTCACCTCCACAACATGAATAGCACTTGTACTTTATAGAGGATAATGGGGTGTTAAGGGTTTTTATATCTACATTCCTTTCTTTTGTCATTTCAATAATGTTCTAATTGACTATCATTTGTAGTAGATGGGACAGACTGAGGCCTTGCAGCTCTGTGCTACTCATTTGTGCACCAGATTGGAGTCAATCATTCTGTGCTTTCTAGTAGATGTGAATGGTGATTGCTGTGCAGACACAGGCAGGCATAGCTAGGCAAACCAGATGGGAGAAAGATAAGAGTATGGATAGAAATTGAGACAGAGAGACAACCCCAGTATACAGCAACCTCGAATTCCCAGTGAAAATTGTAGAAAGGATTCCCAGGCTTGCAATATACCCCAGCCTGGTATGGAAAGTTCTCAGGAGGTAGGAAAGTAATATCTTCCTTCTGGCTTGCTCTCTGTCTCCAAGATGTTGTGGTTATGAGCCCACTGTCAATTCTTGATTCTCCCATGACTCTCTGTTGAAGCAGGGACTGTTAGGCAGGACTGAATGGTTGATGATGTGTCCCTGGTGTCTTGTAGACTATGATGCTGTGCTGACAGAGGCAGGTGATTACACGGAAAAATATTACAAGCTTCGAGAACTCCTCGGATCTATCTTAGGTACTTAACAGTCATTTAAATTTGAGGAAAGGTCCTTATGAAATGTCTGTATTCTATGAAGGGGTAAGGAAAGGGGAAGATTTCCCTGGGAAGAACAGTTTAATGAAGTGCTTCAGAGCAAAGGAAAACTTAAAGTCAAATCCTGGTTTTCTTACCTAAAAACTGTGTAACTTGCTGAAGTATTTTAAGCGCTTTAAGCCTCAGTTTCTTCACTGAAACATGAAGGTAATGATTCTATTTTCTGTGATGACTATGAAGATTAAATTGTTATTTATTAAGCTTTTACTATAATGTATGATATAGTAAGCTTAGGGTATAGATAATAAAACTTGCTGTACTTACTTTTACTTATTTAAATAAAGTTAATTAGTCATCTACTATGAGCTGGAGGGGAGTCCCGGCGTGGTGCTGTAGGTTAATATGCTGGACTTCAAAACTGGTTTGAACAGCAAGGTTGGCAGTTCAAGCTTACCAGCCACTCCTAGAAGACCCTATACACTTAATGGCACTCAACAACAACAATGTGCTAAAAATTGGTTTACACTGGTATTGTCAAAAATGCTAAGGTAGAGTTCTTTCTCCGTAAGAGCCCTCAGTCTAAAAGTAAGACCAATATAACTTGCTGTTGTTAAGTGCTATCTCTTAGAGGTTTCCTTTTCTATCAGCAAAAACTCCAATTTAGTCATGGCCTGATTATTATTACACTAGGAGAGACGTGCCCGTGCCCTATTATTAGGACCCATTTCTCTTCTTGGCTATGAGATACAAGTATTAATTATAGAGATGGGTAGGCTTAAAAGAAGCTAGTGGTTATTTGAGGTCCTCTGGCCCATTTTTATTGCAGCAACTCCCCTGCCTCCCTTACCTGACCTTGTCCCCAAGGCTGTGTATCCTGATGTGAAACCTTCATTCTATTTGCCACTGTGGGATGTTCTGGAATACTTGAATGAGGTTAGTGCTATCTGACACTGGGATATGGGTGGCCATTGGAGAGATGGGGGAGAAGGCCTTGGGTCACAGAGTAGAATTTCCCTCAAGGAGCTTTTAATTGGAGACTATGAGAACTAATCCTCTACATTTTGTGCAAATTTAGAACCATGGGGTAAGAGCCATGAACTCCTTCAAAATGGACTGTAAAGGAGTCTGAACTTCAAGAATAAGTAGAGGTAGCAGAATATTAAAAAACCCTGTTTCCCAGATCAGAGAAATTGAAGCTTCCCTTCTGATGGAGTGAATATGAGAAAAATTACTGAACTAGGAACCCATGAGAGTTGATTTCTGTCTTTGCTTCACCATCGATTAGACCAGCTTACTGAACTTCTGTAGGCCTCTGCTTTCCCTTTAAAATGAGACTACCTGTATATTTTGAAGAAAAGGTGAAATTGGTTTGCAAAATATAACTTTTTTATTTACCTTAGTTTTATCTCTGCTCTATAAGAAGAGGGAAGAGAGCTGCCAACGACATGAACATTGTTTAGGAGCGGAAGCTCTGAAGAGACATCGACCTTCCTCTAGAACTAACAAATAGAAAGCCCTGAATTTGGACTTACAGCCTCCCAAGCTGTGGAGAGGTTAAATCTGTGAAAGCTGTGCATTTTTGTTATGACAGCACTAGATAACTATGAATTTGGAACTGAGAAGTGGGGGCGTTGTTCTCAAAGATACTTAAAATGTAGAAGCTGTTTAAGAACTTGTTAATGGATGGAGGGTGGAAGAGTTTTAAGGTGCCTAAAGGAGCTCTGGTAGCGTAGTGGTTACGAATCGGGCTGCGAACCTTAAGGTCAGCGGTTCGAAACTACCAGCCACTCCGCGGGAGAAAGATGAGGCTTTCTACTCCCGTAAGGATTTACACCCTCGGAAACCCTGTACAGGGTCGCTATGGGTCGGAACCGACTCGACGGCACTTAACAACAACAACAACAATAGGAAAAACAATGGAGTCCTGTTGTGGTGCTGTAGGATAAGCACTGGACAGCCACATTGGTTTGAACTGCAAAATTGGTGGTTCAAACTCATCAGCCACTCCTTGGAAACCCTATGTAGGGTCACTATGAGTTGGAACCAACTCGACGGCACTTAAAAACAGTAACAACAATATAAAAAAAATAGAGACTGATATTATAAATACTAAATAGAGCCCTGGTGATATAGCGGGTTAAGTGTGATAAAATACTGATCAGCCACCCCTCAGGAGAAAGATGAGGTTTTCTGTTCCCATAAAGATTTACAGCCTCAGAAACCCTATACAGGACTGCTATGAGTCAGAACTGACTAGATGGCATATAACAAAAACAAAAAATAAATGTTTGATTAGTGAATAATTCTTAACTAGACTTCAGTGGGAGTCCTGGTGTGCTGCTGTAGGACCACAAGGTCAGGGTTCAAACTCACCACCTGCTCCCTGGAAACCCCATATAGGATTGCTATACATGGAAACTGATTCAGTGGCACTTAACAACAACAACAGACTTCAATTATCTTAGAACACAATTTATTTAGTCTGTTAATCATTTCTGTTGACTAAAGCAATTGTTGCCCCTTCACCATCTCCTCACCATTACATAGTGGTTTTATTTAGTAGTGCTCATTCAAAGAACCCTTGGGGATCACTTGTTGTTTTTAGGTGCTGTTGAGTTGGGCTCCAACTCATATCAACTCTGTGCACAATGGAACAAAACAATGCCCAGTTCCTGCATTGTCTTCACAATTGTTATGCTTGAGCCCATTGCTGCTCCCACAGTGCCAATCCATCTCATCAGGGGTCTTCCTCTTTTCTGTTGATCCTTTATTTTACCACTGGATCACTAGGTAGCACAAAAAGTAACAAGGGTATTAGAAAGATGGTTCCTGATTTCTCATCACCCTGGCTCCTCTTTTGCCTGTTTCTGCCACAGCCGGTGAAATCTAATGTTACAATCAACATGGAGAATCTTCCTATAAACCACGGAAGTGGTCAGTCCTATGGATTTGTACTCTATGAGACTTCTATATGCTCTGGAGGTTATCTGAAAGTGCATGCTCAAGATGCGGCACAGGTAGGAGTCAGCAGGTTGCTCATGATGGTAATCACAACTTTTAGCTTACCTCTGCTATTGGGGAGGGTAATCACAAGTCAACTTTATTATTTTACAGTGTTTTTAAGCAACTGTGTGCTGGACAAGAAGCCTCTGTGGCCCAATGGTCAAGTGCTTGGCTGCTACCTGAAAGTTTAATAGATCAAACCTCCCCAGTGGTTCCTCAGGAGAAAGACCTGGCGATCTGCTGCCATAAAGATTATGGCCTAGGAAACCTCACGAGGCATTTCTACAGTCACATGGGGTCACTAGGAGTCAGAATGGACTTGATGCCACTCAAAAACCACAATGTGTTCTGGAAATTGGGAATACAAAGTTAAACCAAATAGACTTACTTTCTGCTTTATCACAACTTAAAGTATTGTGGATTAAATTATGTTCACCCAAAATATGTGATGGAATCTTACCCCTATCTATACTTGTAGATGCAATGTAATGACTTTATATCTAATGCAATATAATACAATCACTTACCATAATGCAATCTAATATAGTGCAATCAGTTGAAGTACAGGGTGGATCCTAAGCCAAATCACTTCTTGGTTTGATAAAGAACAGCATAGACACACTCACAAACATAGACACACATAGTGGTAGAGGTGGGATGGGAGATGCAATATATGAGGATTGTCTACAAGCCAAGAAACCAGAGGATGCCTACAATTACTTTTAAGAAATGCATAAACATGCCCAAGATTCTAATATTGGCAGTAGCCCCCAGAACTGTGAGAAAACATATTTCTGTTCCCTAAAGCCACCTATATGTGGTATTTCTGTTACAATAGCACTAGGAAAAGTCTAATAGAGAAACTGTACCAATATTGGCAATGTCAATCTGACAAGTTTTATGATGAGAAAGACTAGGCAACTATGGGGTTCTTAGATGAGCTCCTTGTTTAGACTTGGGAGGTCAACATTGGTTTCTGGAGTACATGCTCTTGATGATCAGCCAGAGTTAGTGAGGTGAAGAAAGAGTTGTAGAATGTTCCCAGCAGAGTGAATAAATGAATATTGTGTTTGAAGACCTGGTAAAGAAGAGAGCATGGCTGACTCTCGGGCCTGAAAAAAGTTGATGACAAGAGCTTGGAATGTAGGAGGAAAAATTAATGCCATTTGGGGCTACATAGCTACAGGCATTCTATACCCATGAAGCTGCTGGTTGGTCATTGTAGTTGCAGGCAACCTACTCATCAATGATCACACTTGCCAATAAAAGGAAATAATAAAGCAAAGCATCTGCCTCACTTTGCCATTGAAATTTCACACATGCAAAACTGATTGGCTTAAGTGAAATCATGTCTGAAATATTGATATGAAGTCCAGAAGTGTTTTCAGCCTCTACAATATAGTACAGAAGTTCAGCAGGAGGATGGAATGGAGGCAGAGTGTAAACCCACTCTAGCCATCTCACAAGACGCAGCGGAAGTTATCTTTGTCACACCCTTCCCTATTTGGAGTGAAACTTTTCTTCTCTATTTTGTTCTATTCTCCTTGACACTGGATTCAGTCATTGAACTTAGATGCTCATCTCAGTTCCTGAACTAAAGAGAGTCCAATGGGAGGTGGTCAGGTTGACCATTATTGTGCTTATTTTAATGATATTTCATTATTGCAACTTCCCATCAGCCACTAGTCTTCTGGGAAGACCAGGGCCCTTCATAACAATCACCTTTGCCTAAACCAGCATCTTCTCCCTTTCTTCAGGAGGGCCTTTCAGTTTTACACTAGCTCTTCTTTTGCAGGTATTTTTGAATGAGACATTTATAGGAGTTATGAATGAGAATATTCAACACTTGAACATTCCCAAATTCAAGGTACATATTAAAGGTCTGAAGGATCTCTGGTTAAGTGCTCAGCTGCTACCTGAAAGTGGATTTGGTGGCTTGAACCCAAAGGAAGAAAAAAACCTGGTAATCTGCCCTCTTGAAGATTACAGCCTAGGAAACTCCACAGGGGTAGTTCTACTCTGTCCTGTAGGGTTGCTCTGAGTTGGAATTGACTCGACAGCACACAACAACAAAAACATCAAGGGTCTGGGCCCTGGTCATACACAAATACGTCTGTTCCTGAGTCAGAGTACGGCCTTTCCCTACGACTACTCTTTTGTATTGAGCTCTGGTAGCGTAGTGGTTATGAATTAGGCTGTGAACTGCAAGGTCAGCAGTTCGAAACTACCAGCTGTTCCATGGGAGAAAGATGAGGCTTTCTGCTCCAGTAAAGATTTACAGCCTCAGAAACCCTGTACAGGGTCACTATGGGTCAGATCCGACCCCATAGCACATAACAACAACGACAACTCTTTTGTATTATTTCTCATTTAGATTCCCATCAGGAAGTGTGTAAGGCTTTAAGTATAATTGCATCCCATAGGCCTGAATATATTAGAAACTACAGCCTATAAGCTTTGGTGTGAATGGAATTTACTCCTTGGATATTCATTTGCTCCTATAGCCCAGAATCACTTACCAGCCCCAATTTGGATCTCAGATAAATGGCACCAACGAGTCTCTATCTTTTCAAGTAGGACAGCAGAGGGAAAAGGGAAAGGTTGCATATGGAGCATGAACACCAAGGGGTCATTACAAGAGCTGAGGTGAGAAAAGAATGGGCTCTATAGGAAAGGCTCCACAGTCTCCATGAACTGACCTGTTCCAAACAGGGCTGTCAACTTTTGAGGATCTTGGTGGAGAATCAAGGACGAGTCAGTTATTCATGGAAAATCCAAGAACAACAAAAAGGTAGGTGCTGAGCCTGAGAAGAGGCCATAGCTTCTCTTTAATAATTGTTTGGCCCCTGGGACTGGGGCTCTGGTGGATCCCAAGGCAATGGGATACCAATGTGCTGAAACTAAAGATGCAACCTCTTTCCCCACTCCTGTCCTGCAGGGAGGAAGGTGAAGCAGTTTATGTGGGTGCTACTCTCTCTGTTAAACCCCTTTTCTGACTTTCCTTTCCAATTACGTTTTCTAGAAATCATTCAGATTTAAAAGCTATTCCTTTTTTTTAAAAGAAAATGTGTAGATTTTTCTCTGGGGTGAGAAAGAATTCAAGGTGCTTGGATTACTAATGTTAAACATTAAAAATTAGGAACCTTTTCTTCATTATACTTTTTCTTTCTTCCCAGAGCCCTTTTGGCTACCCTCTTTCCACTGCCTTTTATATTGCTCTGACCTCTTTGCAAAGAGGAGCCCTTCTTTGACTTGATGCTGCTTGTCTCGTCTTGGGAATTTCAAGGAAGGTTCTGCTATTATACAGGAACTCTATTGGTAAAATGTATTTATGTGGTGGTGGTGGTGTGCCATGGAGTCGGTTCTAATTAATTATGCCCCTGCATAGGGTTTCCGGGGCTATAAGAAACCCTCAATCATATATAATAGGTCAGACAAGTATTTGTTCTTAAAGGTGGGCTCTTGGCACAAAGAGCATATATGTCTGTATTTATTTGTTCTCAACTCTGGAGAATATTTAGCCCTTGCTCAAATTTTTTTTCTTTCTTTCCACTGCAGGAATAACTGAATTTCCTGGCATTAATGACATTCCCCTGAAAGATTTTACTATCTATTCTCTGGAAATGAAAATGAACTTCTTTGAGAGGTATATTTGAAACTGTGTCCAATACACAGAGTAAGCAGGTAACTCCGAGATCATTTATTTCAAACTCTTCACTTTGCAGATAAAGAAACCAACATTCAGAAACCTGAAGAGATTTGTTCAAGGTTATAGGGTTGCTTTGGAATCAGGACTTGAACTCTAGAATTCTGATTTTAATTTTTCTGGTTTAATTCATCCTACTAGAGAAGTTCTGGTAGCGTAGTGGTTACGAATCGGGCTGCGAACCTTAAGGTCAGCGGTTCGAAACTACCAACTGCTCCGCGGGAGAAAGATGAGGCTTTCTACTCCCTTAAGGATTTACCCCCTCGGAAACCCTGTACAGGGTCGCTATGGGTCGGAACCGACTCGATGGCACTTTAACAACAACAACAACACTATGTTGTGGTGCTGAAAACAGAATCTTAGTCTTTGAGAAGGACACTTGGGTGTCAGTACTGGGCCTAAACCTGGAAAGGGGCTTTCTTCTCCCTCACTATTGGCTCTTCCCTTAGGCTCCGCTCTGCCACCTGGAGGCCTGTTCCAGAGAGACATTCAGGCCCTGCCTTCTACCTTGGTACCTTGAGGGCTGGCCCTTCTCCCAAGGACACCTTTCTGAGACTGGAGGTAAGTGAGTCACTCTCTTCTACCTTGCTATTCCAATCACTGACTCTTAACAAGCCTTTTAGTAAAGGCTTATGTTCCTGATACAGATTCTTCCCCACTTCCAACCACTTCTTCTAGCATTTCTCAGTCTTTCTAATACTATCTCCATCTACAAAACGTACAAAGTAAAGAGAATAAGAGATAAAAGTGGCATAGCATCTCCCTCATTTCAATAACTCTCTACTTCTCAGAGCTGAACATTGCCCACAGTTTGTATTTTCATATCTAACTTTGCCCAGATGTTTCTAAGTGGGAGGATGATGAGGTTTACTGCTCCTGCCAAGATTTATAGCCTTCTAAACTCTACATGGAGTCCTGGTGTGGTGCTGTGGGTTAATGCGCCAGACTGAAAAGCCATTTGAACTGTTAGGTCGGTGGTTCAAGCTCACCAGCTGCTCCTCCGAAACCCTATATAGAGTTGCTATGGGTCGGAATTGACTCGACAGAACTTAACAACAACAGCAACAAACTCTATATAAAATTACTATGAGTCAAAAATAACTTGATGGCACTAAACCACAATAACAACAACAACAGGCATTTCTAGATTGCAGAAATTATCAAACAGTATCATACATATCATACACAGTTTGCTGAAGATAACTAAGATGTTGCAGCAGAACACAGACAGAAAACTGCCTGAAATCCAGGCTGATTTCAGCAGAGGACATGAAATGAAGGCTATCATTGATGTCAGATGAATCTTGGCTGAAAGCAGAGAATACCAGAATAATGTTTATTTCTGCTTTATTGACTATGCAAAGGCATTAAATTGTGTGGTTCATAACAAATTGTGGATAGCATTGAGAAGAATGGGAATTCTAGCACACTTAATTGCACTCATGTGGAACCTGTATATACACTAAGAGTCAGTCATTGAAACAGAACAAGGGAATACTGAATGGTTTAAAATTAGAAAAGGAGTGCATCAGGTTTGTGTCCTTTCATCATACATATTCAACCTGTATTCTGAGCAAATGATCAGAGAATCTGGACTATATGAAGAAGAATGGTTATCAGGATTGGAGGAAGACTCATTAGCAACCTGTGGCATGCAGATGACACAAACTCGCTTTCTGAAAATAACAAAGACTTGAAACACTTACTGATGAAGATCAGTTTGGATTACACCTCCAAGAGAATAAAAATCTTCACAATTGGACCAATAAGCAGCATCACGATAAATGGAGTGGAGATTGAAATCATCAAGGATTTAATTTTGCTTTGCTCTATCTACAACCAATACCCATGGAAGCAGCAGTTAAGAAATTAAACAACATATTCCACTGAGAAAACCTGCTGCAAAAGGCATCTTTCTTTTAAACAGTTAAAAAGCAGCAAAGATATCACTTTGGGCACTAAAGTGTGTCCAATCCAAGCCATGGGATTTTCAGTCATTACACATGTATTAAAAATCTGGACACTGAATAAGAAAGACCAAAGAAAACTTGATATCTTTGAATTGTCTTGGTGAAGAATATTAAATATACATACCATGGGCTTTCAGAACAAACTTGTTTTGGTGGAAGTATAGCCAGAATGCTCTTAGAAGCAAGGATGGTGAGACTGTCTAATATATTTTGTACGTGTTATTAGGAAGGACCAGTCCCTGGAGAAAGACATCATGTTTGGAAAAGTAGAGGGTCAGTGAAAAAGAAGATCCTTAACAAGATGGACTGACATTGTGATTGGGACAAAGAACTCAAATACCGCAATGATTGTGAGGATAGTAAAGGACCAGTGTTTCTTTCTGTTGATGTAGGGTCGCCGTGTTGTAGAGTATCATTTACAGTATCACACTGAGAGTGGAGAAAATGATTATGTGTTTAGAAATGACTGTTGTTTTTGTTAGGTACCTTTGAGTTGATTCTAACTCATAACGACCTGCTGTGCAGCAGAAGGAAACACTGCCCAGCCATGTGCCATCCCTACAATCATTGTTATGTCAGTACCCTATACCCCAAACTTACCACTACATTGATTTCTAATACAATACTTCAGTGCTTCCCAGTTTTCATGTATTCAGAATTATACAGCATACACTGTTTTTTAATGTGGCTTATTTTGTCAACATTATTTATTAGTTTATTCATTTATTTAAGTTGCTGTGATTTGTTCATTTTCTCTGCTGTGTAGGAATCCATTTTATAAATACATTATAATTTACTAAATGGTTCTGCTAATGAACACTTACATTATTTGGCTACTATATACATATATAATTGAGTTATAGATTTTTTTATTTTTTATTTTTTTTATGTTCATTAGATATCTTTGTCAGGTTTTGGTACCAAGACTTCAAGATTTGTTGCTGTTGTTGTGTGCCGTTGAGTCAGTTCTGATTCATAGCAATCCTATATGGGGTTTCCAAGAATGGCTAGTTGTTTTGAACTGCTAACCTTGTGTTTAGCAGTCTAGTGCTTATCCTATTGTACCACAGCAAATGCCAAAGTGCTGTAACAGAAATAGAAACGGAACATGAATAGAGGTATTTGAAATTTTAGATGAAATGGCAAAAGTTCCAGAAAAATACATTTTATCAAAACTAACTTTTTTTAAAAAAGTTTTTATTGTGAATTGAGTGATAGTTTACATGGGAGAACATCAGTTTTACACTCATCCTACCATATTTCGTTTCATTGCAATGATTACAATCCCCTCCATGCCTCCATGCATCATTATTCAACAGTATTTGCTTCTATTACCTCTATTTTTTTTTGGGGGGGTGGGGACAGGATTTATACAAAAACACTCAGGAATGCATAGTCATTTAAACAAGCAAAGGGCATATTCTGCAAGCTTGCCTCCTGGCTGCCAGCATACAGCATTTCTCTTTCCATGAGTCTAGAGTCCTCAGCTGCTCTATCTCTCCATGTCATCATCTCTGCCTCCATATCTGGTATTGCTGTTTCTCTGGACAGGGTCCCACATTCTGCTCATGATCTTCTCCCTTGATGGTTCTAGGGTCCTCTGTTTCTGGACTGTAAGATTAACTACTCCCCCCTTTTTGTTACAAAACTTCTACCTTTACAGTCAAAACTAACTTCAGTGGGAGTCCTGGTGTGGCGCTGTAGGCTAAAGCACTGGGCCGCAAGGTCAGTTTGAATCACAAGATCCGTCAGTCATTCAAACTATTCAAACTCATCAGCCTCTCCTTGGAAACCCTATACAGGATCACTATGGGGTGGAACCAACTCAAAGGCACTTAACAACAACTTTTAATGAAACAGGAAATCTAAACAGGAAATATATGTACACAAATACTATTTAGATTTCCTGTTTCATTGAAAGTTAGTTTTGATAAAATGTATTTTTCTGGAGCTTTTTCCATTTCATCTAAGTTTTCAAATACCTTTATTCATGATCTTTTTCTATTTCTGTTATAAATTGTGCATTCTCTTTTTTCCCTTTACCGATCTCTAGAGCATTACTAAATTTGTTAATCTTTTCCAACAGCCATCCTTTGGTTTTGAAACCCACTCTATTACTTTTTCTTTTCTGATTCTTTAGTCTCTGCTGTTATATTTATTATTTTATTCAATATTTTAAAATGACTTATTTGCTTTCTTTTTTATAATTTCTTGATATGGATGCTTAGCTTACTAATTTTTAGTCTTTATTATTTTATGATCTATACATTATGGCTTTTCATTTTCTTTTAAGAATGAAATTGATTGATTCCCACTAGCATTTATATATTTTATTTTCATCATCAGTGAATTAAAAGTATGTCCCAACTTCCATTGTGATGCCTATTTTGGCTATTTAGAAGTGTATTTCCTAATTTCCAAACATTTGGATAAATATAATTTTTATCTGTGCATTTTATAGTTATCATTGTATTATCAGTTTCCTATTTACTTGTACTGTCGGAGAACTTTAAAAATGCTAATCCCTTTGTTTCAAATGTTTTATATTTTTATCTGCTTTATCTACAATTAAGAAGGTTGTATGAACATTTTTCATTGTATTTCTTAATTTATTTCTTGTTATTTTGTCAGTTTTGTTTTATATATTTTGAATCTCTATTTTTAGCTCTCACCCCATATAT